CTGGGATCCTTTCGTTCGGTTGTTGTGGCCCAACCCTTGTCCATCTAGGAACATATAGAAGTTAACTTTATATGGTGGATATTTTGCAGATCTGAAGGTGATCTATTTTTAGAACCACTTTTCTGGTGAGATTCCTATTGAGATTCCTATCAATGATAGTTCATGATTAATAGAACCTGCACAATGTGATAGTTCATGGCTGCTGGACATTCATTTGACTATACAATAGCAGCTTGCACCACTTGTATAATTAGTATTGTACGATGACAATGTTCCCGTGATAGTTAGATTGGTATTTCTCTTCTGTGTTGTACGTATGGTTGCAATTGGTATGGTCGCAATTGGTGCCTTTTTAAGTAGTAATTTCTAAATCATCAATGGAAAAATATTGCAACACCATTTTGATTAAACTAGTCGCAGCATCAAGGTCTGAGCCAAATTGAGCAAGGGCATATTATTTTTTTGTCAGGTTAATATATTTGTAAATGTTATTTTTTATTCCAGCACTTAGTTCAAGTTCATCTCTGGGAGTGCTTTGAATTTGCAGTTCTGGGAGTGCTTTAAATTTGCAGTTGCAAAGTTTTATTGACTTCTTGGAGCTGAATTGCTCTTGAGTTTTCAAGGTACTACATAGACTGTATACTGAATGATAAATTCTTTTAAAAAATTTACTAAATTATTTATTTTCATCTTTTATAGGTGGATCGGATGAGCAAAGAGTGGATGAAAGAGGCAAAAATATTGCTTAGAGTCATGGGATTGTTTTGAAATATTTGTGTATTCAGATATTTTAGGAATCTTTTATTTTTGATTTTCATTACTTTGAGAGCTTATGTATGCTTTTGAATTGTTAGACAATATTATAAAGTTTATTTTATGGAAAGCTTCAATAAATTGTCGCAGTAGCTTCATGAACTGTTGCGATAGCTCCTAATAACTGTTGCGGTAGCTCATAATAACTATTGCAGTAGCTCCTAATAACTGTTGCAGTCGCACCGAATAACTGTTGCAGTAGCCTCAATAAACTGTTGCGCCAACTCCTAATAACCGTCACAATATATCATCTAAACTATTGCTATAGCAGAAATTACCGTTCCCTAAAATGATATTGAGACAATTTAGAACCGTCCCATTTGACTAATTAACCGTTACAACATATGAACGTATTGCAAGGGTTCCAAAACCGTTGCCATACACAGGTCTATTGCAACGACAGTGCAACCGTTACAGAAAACTGTTGCGACAGAGTATTGTTATGCGACCTGGTGGGACGGTCGCTGAACCGTTGCAATAGGTCTATGGCAACGGTTTTTACATCTATTGAACGGTTATTCCGCTGTTGCCGTAGATCAATTTTCTGGTAGTGTATTTATTTATACTCTTAAACTAAGATACATAAAACTGAAGCGCAAGGGGTTTCTTTTTTTTTTTTTTAATTTTAGTTTAACTTATTAATATATAAGTTACTGCCAATATAAAGGTTTCCACTTCGTGAACCCTTGCATGGCCTAAAAAAGTAAGTTATTTCCCATTCTTTCTCCTTCAACCAGTCGTTGTTTTCTTTTTCTAGTACAAAGCACTACCGAATTTGTCAGAGTACTTTTGTAATCTACAGTTCCTTAAGTTTTATAATGAGTGGTCCAAATCGTGAATTATAGTAGATCAACTAACAAATTTCTCTTCCACTTATTTACCTACCACAACATAACGTAATTAGCTGCAGGTAAAACCAAAAGGCCGGGAAAAGAACCAGGACCTTAGGTTTGTTGTGTGTCTCTTACTTTCTAAGAAATTTGAAGATCAATCGACCAAATAACAGTGAGGGGCTGCGATGTTATAAGTCACATCCTATTGATTAGATTCATTAGCAAAGTTTTGTTTCTATGATAATAAAAGAAGTTATCAAGAAATCGTGTATAACACCAGCTACGCCTGACATGCAAAATGAGTGCGTAGGATTTTTTTTTTTTAAAAACCCACAGTGGGGTAATCTTTTATTCCTGAAGCATCACGATTACAAAAAGGAGGCTATGCTTGACCTCCATGAACAAAAGGAATGGAGATCCATTCATTACATAGTATGATATTCCTCTAATTTTCTATCCAAAAAAAGTTTTTGCTAGCTGGTGATTTATGGTATTTGTTGATCCATATCCAGCAAGCAGTACCTATCTAAGGTGGTTCAAAAAACCATCCAGAATGTTTGGTTGCTTTGATCCTGAATGAAGGTATTTGTAGCTTGTCCATTCTCAGATATCCTTTTGTCCCCCAAGGTAATTCCTCTTCTTGCAAATATAACTTGTTTTCCAGAATGTTTGTAGCATGCTTGGCTAAGGAATCTGCTACCGTGTTTCCCTCCCGGAAGCAATGACGCACTTCTATGTTCCTCTTCATTACTTTTTCTCTGATAATTGATATGTCTTTGTGAAGTCTCCATGGTGGTTTTACCTTTCCTTGTATCATTTGAACTACCAGTAAGGAGTCTAGCTCCACCGTAAGCTTGTTGAATTGTTGTTCACAACACCATTCAATTCCACAAAGTGCATCCTGCAATTCAGAGAAATTTTTAGTCAAGAATTGAATAGGATTAGCATAGGCCATTACCATATCTCCACTTCTTCTTCTAACAATCCCTCCATCGCCAGCTTTGCCCAATGTCATCATACAGCTGCCATCGGAGTTCAACTTCCAGTTATCATCCTCTGGTTTTACCCATGTCACCATTATGCTCCTGAGTGTAGGTTTATAGCTCTCAGCTATGTAGCAAGTTTGGTTCCAATTCCATTCATTTTCCATCCTACTAAATTTTATACCCATGGAAGTTTTAATCAAAAACACTATTTGTTGACAAATTCTAGCAATGGTAGTATTTTTTTGGCTGTACTTTTTGGAACATCTAGCTTTCCAAATTTCCCAACAAGTGATAATGGGAGTTATGTGAAGGATAAGTTTATGCGCTGGGTTTTTTGGAGATATATTCCACCACTGGTATAACACATTGGTGATGTTGTTTCTTCTCCAGATGACTCCTAATGGTCTGGAAATATTATGCCAAACAGCTCTTGCAGTGTCACTCTCAACAAACAAATGATGACGACTTTCTTCCTTAGGTTGACTACAACAAGAACATCTGGAGACCGTATGGATACCAAATCTCTGAGTATTACCATCAAGAGGCAATTTATTCTTTAAGATCCACATAAAGAAGGATATCTTAAAAGGAACTTCTTTGGACCATAGTTTGCTAAGCATAGGACAATGATTGTTTTTTTTGCCTAGGAGTTTGAAGTGCTGATGCACAAAAGAAACTACCATCCGTAGTAAGTTTCCAGATGGCTTGGTCTTTAGTATTGGGATCTCCCAAATCCACATATTGAATGTTTTCAATAATGTTCTGTGAGACTTCATTCTTTAGAGATTCAACATCCCAGTTATGACCCTGGATGAAATCCTTCACCTTAGTGTTTCCAGGCTTGTACGTGAGATTGACTAATGAGTTAATAGGTCCCTCAGTAGTCCAATTATCCCACCAGAAAAACAGATTTCCTTCATTCACCCTCCAAACAACTTTGTCTTCTACTTTGTCTCTAATGATCAACAAGCTTCTTCGTTCATTAGTCTCTGGAACTTACTACCTTCGCTACCAGATTACTTCTAGGGCAGTACTTGGCATCCATAAAATTAGTCCATAAGTTCTCCTCAGTTCTGAGTCTCCACCATCTTTTAGCGAGGAAAGTATTACCAATGTCATGAATTCTTTTAAACCCCAATCCTCCCTCCTCAGTGGGGTAGCACATCTTGGCCCATGAACTCCAATGGTATTTGTTTTTCCCCTCATTCTATCCCCAAAAGAAATTTGCTAAGTACATCTCGATCTGGTTCATCACCGTGATAGGTGGAACCATAGCTGCTAACAAATGGAGAGTCTGAGATTGAAGGATATGCTTTATGATGACTGCTCTACCACCATGGGAGAGGAATCTACCTTGCCATCCTCCTGCTTTGGTTAGGACTTTAGTGGTGATATCTGTAAAATGACTGATTTTCTTCCTTCCTAAGTAAATTGGACATCCCAAGTATGTAAAGGGAAAGTGACTGTGCTTTTAGCCAGTCCACTTCTTAATCTTCCTCATGTGATGATTATCCATCTTATCATGAGTTAAGAAAAAGCTCTTGTCCTTATTGATCTCTTGACCAGAAGCCTCCTGATATTTTTTGAGTTGTTTCATAATGAGCTTGATCGACCTTTTGTTAGCTGATGAAAAAAGCACGAGATCGTCTGCATAGCTAAAATGGTTGATTTGTGGCCCTCTTTTATGCATTGAGAAACCCACGAAGTCTTCTTTGGTGTGAAGATGATTGAGTGCTCTGGTGAGGCATTCTGCTGCTATAATGAATAAGGAGGGGGAAAGGGGATCTCCTTGTTTCAATCCTCTAGAGGAATTAAAGAAACCGTGCCTGGTACCATTGATAATGATAGAGTACCAATTATTAGCAATGAGTCTATGAATCAATTCAATGGTCCACTCTGAGAATCCCATTCTCCTGAGGACTAAAGTCAGGAAAGTCCATGACAGCTTGTTTTAAGCCTTCATAACTATATTGCCTCCATTTATCTTCTTATTGATTCCATGAACAATCTCTTGAGTGAGGAGAATATTCTCTGTGATTAGTCTACCTTTCACAAAGCCAGTTTGATTCTCTGATATAAACTTGGGTAGCAGAGGGTTAATTCTCATAGCAATAAGCTTAGAGATGATCTTGCTGGTAAAGTTACACAAGCTTATAGGTCTCAGCTGGGAAAAGTTTTCAGGAGAACTAATTTTTGGGATCAAGACCAAGCATGTGTGAGTATAATATTTGGTGAGGTTTGCTCCACTGAAGAAGGCAGATACAAATTCCATTATATCATTCTTAACAATATCCCAAGCTTTCTGAAAGAAATGTCCATTAAATCCATCTGGACCTGCAGCACTGTTAGGATCCATAGAGAACACTGCTTATTTCACCTCCTCAATAGTTGGGGTGTGTTGTAGTAACTCATTATCCGCATCTGTGATCAACTTTTCACATTTCCTCACGATTTCCATATCACTGGTATTGTTAGGTTGAGAGAAAATCTCGCTGAAATGTTCTATAGCAGCTTGTGCTATGTTCCTATTTCCTTCTACCCAGTCACCATCTCTATTTTTTATCATGTGGAGCTGAGTTTTCCTTCTTCTTTCTCTGATGACACTGTGAAAGTACTTACTGTTGGTGTCACCCTCTTCTGCCCATTTAACTCTTGCTTTCTGTTTCAAAATGGAGTCTTGCATCTTGAGCCATCTTATGTATTCTGCTTGTGATTTGTGGAGCTCCTGTCTGTTCTCCTCTGAGTCATCTAAATCATAAGCTTCCTCTTGAAGTCTTGTGTTCTCCTCCATTTGTTTGACATTTTCCTGCACATCTCCAATGGTATCTCTTGACCATCTACTTAGACTCTTAGCTAACGCCTTGAGTTTTTGTTGTAGGATCCACATAGGATTGCCTTGAACGTTGGTGTTCCAGCAACTTTCTACTAAGGAAAGGAAGTCCTCCCGATCAGTCCAAAAGTTCAAGAATTTAAAGTACTTGATAACTTTCTGACGGTCGTTAGTGCACCTTATTAAAAGCAATTTGTGGTCAGAACCAGTTTTAGATTGGTGATCAATCCTGACTGAGTTAAAAGCTTCATCCCACTCCTCGTTCATAAGAACTCCGTCTAGTCTTTTGCTAATTCTTCTACCTCTGCTTCTTCCATTACACCAGGTGAATGGGCTACCAGTAAATCCAGGATCAGTCATGCCACATTCCTCCATGCAAGAGATGAAGTCAGTGCTCTTGCTTAAGCAGTGTGGATTCCCTCCTGACTTTTCCTCGGTAGTCATGATGGAATTGAAATCTCCAGCAATAGACCAAGGAGCATGAATCTGTCTACTTAGAGATCTAAGTTTGTTCCACAACCTTCTCCTTTTAATGGCTCTACTTCTGGCGTAAACTATTGTAAACCAGAAATTGTTGTCATTGTTAGTGTGATGGATGTGAAAAGTAATTTGTTGTCTTCTTTTTGACTTAACAGTACAAGTGAGATTAGAGTTCCAAAAGCATCCATTCTTACTACGAGCATTTGAGACTGCATTGTCATATCCTAGTTTGTTCCTATAATCATCAATTTGGTCACTAGAGAGAAAAGGTTCTTGTAGTGCCACAAAATCAATCCTGTGCATGTTGACTAATTTGATTAGTCTATCAAAAGCTCCTTTGGATTTCATCCCCCTAATATTCCATATGATTGTACTAATCATAAGGTTATTAGAGGGGTATGTTTTGTTTTCCCTTATTTTTCAACTCAGGATTTGTATTGGGAAAAATTTAGTTTGTATATTGGAGATGACGTGTCATGACACGTAGACTGGTCAAATAGTCAAAGAACTAAGGTTAGTTAAGAGGTACGAGCAACAACAGATACGAGCAAGTTAAATGAAAGAGGCGCGAGCAGTCATACAAGCAATTCAAGGCTCGTACCTATTCAAGACATTTAAAACTCAAAGATCGTGAAGAATCAAAGGAATGAATCTGACAGCAAAAAAGAGCCCAGATACAGCATTTAATGAGTATTAAATACTGGAAACGTTAGAGAATATGTACTTAATGTATATGATTGCATAACGTAACATTTAAAGTCATTAATTGCCCATAATAGCCTTATTATGACAAAGATAAGACTCGTATCCCCAAAATAGATATAAAAGGGGAAGGAACAAACAATTGTAAACACACGAAACACTATTGGAATATATTTTGATTTACTTTCTTTCTGATTATATTATTCACAAATCTCTTTCTCCATATACTTTTCTGATTATCAATAATCCGTATTCTTCTAAATTCTAGCTTTGACTAAAATTCCAGTTTTTAGTTAAACAAATTGGTTTTGTTACCGGGAATCTGATAATCAATTATATCTCAACTTGATTTTCTTTGTTGGATCAACTATGTCGAACAACAACGACAATATCCAAGGAAACCGAGAAAATCAATCGAACCAACAACTTCAGGGAGATCTGCGAGACAATAATGCATTAGTTCCTTCTCCACAATGTTCACCACGACGATCTCGTGAAGGAACTCTTGAAGGATCTCACAAGAAGAACAAGTTCAATTTGAGAATGTTGAAGCTATGGATGATGCTTTACAAAAACTTATCGCTACTCAGGTCAACAAAGCTTTACAAGCTTTTGTTAGTCAATTACCTATTTTGGGCTTGGGTTGGAACGGGTGCACGGAAGCTGCTCCACCCACACCTACTCCAAATAATAATACTTTGGAGAATCCTCGTTCTGGACTGGTTAATTCAGGCAGCGGTGGAACCCCCAGTGAAACACAGGAGGGAGACCCAGGTAATCTAGTTAATTCTGATTTACAAAATCTAGTACTAACATTGCAGAAACAGCTTAAGGAGCAACAAGACCGCATAGAACAAATACCCGGAGTACCGCCCGTGATCAAGGGGGTAGATATAGATAAATATTCTCAACAGCCCTGGAAGCCAAGTGTCGCCCCTCTCCCAATTCCAAAGAAGTTCAAGATGCCTGATATTCCGAAGTATGATGGGATAACGGACCCACGAGATCACGTTATTGCATTTACAACAGGTGTCAAGGGCAATGATTTGACTAAGCAGGAGATTGAACCAGTCTTGGTCAAAAAATTCGGTGAAACACTCACTAAAGGGGCACTAACATGGTATTCTCTTTTACCTGAAAATTCCATAAATTCTTTTGCTGAGCTTGCAGATTTATTTATCAAAGCACACTTGGGAGCTCAAAAAGTTGAAAAGAGAATGGAAGACATCTTCAAAATCAAGCAAGGAGATTCAGAGTTGCTTAGAGAATTCGTGGACAGATTTCAACGGGAAAGAATGACGTTGCCACGAGTACCTGACAATTGGGCGGCCATAGCCTTTACCAGCAATTTGAATGAGAAGAGTTCAAAAGCTACGAGACGACTCAAGGAAAGCCTTCAAGAATTCCCAGCAACAACGTGGAATGATGTCTACAATAGATACAGTACAAAGATGAGGATTGAAGAAGATATTATTTTACAACATAAAACAGAAGAAAAAGTAAGCTCAAGGCATGTAGAAAATGAAAAAAGATCTGGTAAAAACAGGAACGAGCCTTACATGGGACCTGCGGGGAAGGACTCACGGTCAAGGCAAGATAATCACAGCTACGATCACAAACCTAGAAACAGGGAATCAGGCTCCTCATCAAAGTTCGGGAATGATCGGAACACACGCGGGTCACGAGACGATGATGGAAGTCTAAAGGCAAGGTTCGGTGGTTACAACTTCAACGTAAACACCTCTGAACTCGTAGCTGTTTTAAGAAGCATGGGAGATAAGGTACGGTGGCCAAAGGAAATGCGATCGAATCCAAACAGACGAAACCCTGATCATTGGTGCGAATTTCATAGCAATGACGGGCATAAAACAGCAGATTGCAGGTTTCTGCAAGGTAAAGTTGATCATTTGCTAAAACAGGGGTATCTCACTGAGTTATTCAGTGAGAAAGGTAAACAAGCATACATGAAGAACAAGCAAGAGCCTCCAAAACCACCTTCACCCAAGAGAACTATTAACGTTATAAGTTGGGGTGAAGAGATCAACGATGTATCATATAAAAAGGTTTCGAAAGTAACAATTACCCACGGGAAGCGGCCTCGACATGTCTTGGAGGGAGAAAATATTACGTTCGATGATGCAGATGCCGAGGGTCTATTAACTCTACATAACGACGCACTGGTAATATCTTTACTTGTACATGACACTAATGTGAAACAAGTTTTGATTGATCCACGTAGTTCCGTGAACATTATTTTGATACGAGTATTGCGTGAGATGCAAGCTGGAGAAAAAGTAATACCAAAGGCACATACTCTATCTGGGTTTGATAATTCCAGCGTCGTTACAAAAGGAGAGGTAACGCTCACCACATTTGCTGAAGGAGTCATCAAAGACACAAAGTTCCAAGTAGTAGACATGGAGATGGCTTACAATATGATTCTTGGGAGACCATGGATCCACGAGATGGACGTTGTTCCTTCAACTTTGCATCAAGTCATTAAATTTCCACCACCATGGGGAATCTGTCAAATCAGGGGAGATCAACAGACATCTAGGAACATCAACTCCGTGGCAGACTCAAGTACGAAGGGTGAAGAAAAATAGCAATTACAGAATTCAGTTGAGGATAACATAGCGTCAACCTCAACTGAACGAGAACAAACAGATGTAGATTCAAGGCCCGATTCCATTCAAGAACCAGAGGAAAATGAAAATATCAAAACGACGATAGAAGAGCTGGAGGCTGTGGTTTTGTTTATACACTGGCCAGAAAGAAAAGTGTATATAGGAGCTAATCTTAGCCCGGAGGTGAAGCGTAAGTTAATTGAATTTTTAAAAGCTAATGCAGACTGTTTTGCTTGGTCCCACACTGACATGATAGGTATACTACCGGAGGTGATGAATCATAAACTAAATGAAGATCCTTCATATCCTCCAGTCAAGCAAAAGAAAAGAAAGCAAGGAACTTTCAAGAATCAGGTGATTCAAGAAGAAGTCCAAAAATTGTTAAAAATTGGCCCTATTCGTGAGGTAAAGTATCCTAACTGGTTAGCCAACACTGTTGTAGTTCCAAAAAAGAACGGTAAGTGGCGGGTTTGTGTAGATTACACAGATCTTAATAAAGCCTGCCCTAAAGATTCTTTTCCACTGCCACACATAGATCAATTGATTGATGCAACTGCAGGTCATGAACTATTAAGTTTTTTAGATGCATATTCAGGGTATAATCAGATTAAAATGGATCCAGGAGATGAAGAAAAAACTTCCTTCATAACAGACAGGGGGACTTACTGTTATAAAGTAATGCCCTTTGGTCTAAAGAATGCAGGAGCAATGTATCAGAGGTTAGTTACCAAATTGTTTCAAGAGCATTTGGGAAAGACTATGGAGGTATATATAGATGATATGCTTGTTAAAACTCAGCATTCAGGAGATCATATATCGCATCTATCTGAAACATTTAAAATTTTGCGAAAATATAACATGAAGTTAAATCCTGAAAAAAGTGCATTTGGTGTGGCATCAGGTAAATTTTTAGGTTTTCTTGTTTCTAACCGTGGTATTGAGGTGAATCCTGCACAGATTAAGGCCATTGAGGCAATCCCTGAAATACTTACAAGCAAAAAAGAAGTTCAAAGATTAACAGGGAGGATTGCAGCCTTGGGAAGATTCATTTCTAAATCATCAGAGAAATATTTTCAATTCTTCTCAGCTCTTAAGAAGCAGGATCGTTTTGAATGGAACGAAGAGTGTCAACAAGCACTCAAGAATTTGAAAGTGTATTTATCAAATCCACCATTACTAGCAAAACCAAAGGCTGGAGAAAGACTGCTCATTTACCTTGTTGTTTCAGAAGTAGCGGTAAGTGCGATTTTGGTTCGAGAAGAACAAGGTAAACAATCCCCTATCTATTATGTTAATAAATCTTTGCTAGATGCGGAAACGCGGTATCCTCCATTGGAAAAGCTTGCACTTGCATTAATCATGGCATCTAGGAAGTTAAGGCCTTACTTTCAGTGTCATCCTATTGCTGTAGTAACCGTCTATCCTTTACGTAATATATTGCATAAGCATGAATTATCAGGTAGGTTGGCTAAATGGGCAATAGAGTTAAGTGAATACGAAATCACGTACCAACCTAGAACTGCTATAAAATCACAAGTGTTAGCTGATTACGTGGCTGATTTTAGCCACGACATGCAATTAGAAGCACAAAAAGAATTACAGGTGCTCAATGGAGCTAATCCAGGAACTTGGACTTTATTCGCTGATGGTTCATCTAATGTAAAAGGAGCAGGTTTAGGGATTGTTTGGTACCACCTACGGGTGAAACCATTCGACAGGCTATCAAATGTCATTCAATAACTAATAATGAGGCAGAGTATGAGGCTGTGATTGCAGGTTTAGAATTGGGACGAGAACTTGTCATAAATCAGATTATAATCAAAAGCAATTTGCAACTCGTGGTTAATCAAATGCTGGGGACTTATACAGCCAAGGAAGCAATGATGCAACAATATTTAGAAAAGGTGCGGGAGCTAATAAGGCAATTTCAAACTTGGAAAGTTGCACAAATACCAAGGGATGAAAATCTTGAAG